GTAGCCGGGTACAAAGCCCTCTGACCCCATCCCCCCTGCCCCCGTCCTGCAGACCTGCTGGCTGAGTACTGCGAGTGGCTCCCGCAGGCCATGCACGCCGACGTGGAGAAGGCCTGGCCCCCGACGGCTGACCGCTGACCCAATGGCTGGCCGCAGGACAGGACTGGTCTAGGGACCCAGGGGGACGGCAGCAGCCCGTCAGACACGGTCCCTCTGGCCCCTGGAAGCCCTCGTGCGTCTTGGCCCGATCTGGGGGTGACTGTAACTATTTATTAGGGGGTGGGCGAGGGATTATCTCAAACGCCAACCTGACCCCCTTTTTAAAGGTGCCCCGTGGGCTACATTAGCGCCTGTGGAGCCACAGGGTGGGAGGGCGAAGCCGCTGAGAGCAGGGGCGACTGTAGGTCCTTCCTCGGGGGTGTCTATGGCGGGCAGGGCCCCCCCACACTCTCCTGTAGAGGGGGCACCAGGAGGGGCGTCTCCCGATGGCCAGCCCATCAGTGCCTTGCTGAAATTAATCGTGGCCTGGCTCCTGGTTGAGCATCGAGCTATGAACCACAGCTCATGGTTCGATTCCCGGTCAGAGCACATGGCCTAAGCCTGGGTTGCGGGCTCGATCCCCAGTAGGGGGTGTGCAGGAGGCAGCTGATCCATGATTTTTTTCTCATCATTGATGTCTCTCTCTCCCTTCCTCTCTGAAATCAATAAATATATATATATTTTTTAAGAATCTTGGTGTGGAGTCCAGCAGTCCTAGTGCCTCTGAATGTGGGTGGTCTGGGGGTGTCCCTCCCCCCCACACGTGCTCTCCCCTGCGGTCGGTGAGGTCCCCTGGGTGCCAGGTTCCCCCCACCTTCGCCGGGTGCTTTTCCTCAGTGTGTGCGGATGCCGCCGTGTAAGCGCCAGGGTCACAGGGACATGCCCCATATTCCAAACCGCCCGCAGCCTGGCCGCTGCCCCCAGTGCGCCCCCACCGCGGTCTCCCCTGGGCGCTCCCCCAGCACCCACGCCGCCTGCAAGTCCTGTC